TAACACATAACACATTCAAAAGCCCTAGAAAATGAAGCGCAGGGAACGATTTTCGTTGAGCTCAGATTCATAGTTGCCAGATTATGCGAGGTTAGAAATATATATTAATATATTATATTCCATAATATAAATTTTTATTTATTTTTTTATTATATTCCATGATATAGATTTTACATAATTAGCCATTATGTTTCTCTACCTCTTCAAATGTTGAAAATATATATATATTAATATATTAGATTCCATAATACAGATTTTATTTGCTTTTTTATTTATTATATTTCATAATATAGATTTTACTTAATTAGCTATTATGTTTCTCTAACTCTTCAAATGTTGAATATATATATATATATATATATATATATATATATATATATATATATATATATTCCATAATATAAAATTTTATTTATTTGTTTATTTATTATATTCCATAATATAGATTTTACTTAATTAGCCATTATGTTTCTCTAACTCTTCAAATTTTGAAAATATATATATATTAATATATTAGATTCCATAATATAGATTTTATTTATTGTTTTTATTTATTATATTTCATAATATAGATTTTACTTAATTAGCTATTATGTTTCTCTAACTCTTCAAATGTTGAATATATATATATATATATATATATATATATATATATATATATATATTTCCATAATATAAAATTTTATTTATTTGTTTATTATATTCCATAATAAAGATTTTACTTAATTAGCCATTATGTTTCTCTAACTCTTCAAATTTTGAAAATATATATATATTAATATATTAGATTCCATAATATAGATTTTATTTATTGTTTTTATTTATTATATTTCATAATATAGATTTTACTTAATTAGCTATTATGTTTCTCTAACTCTTCAAATGTTGAATGTATAATTCTAATTTCTATTTCCCCATTTTTACACTATATTAATTTTATCTTATAAATCTATCACTCATGAAATAAAAATAATTGTTTGTACGGAAAATAAGGATCTACGTGCATAAAATTGTCTTTAAATTGAGTGGCAACAGAAGAATTATCGTTGAACTTTTAAAAGGTAAACTTAAACATTTATTCAGTACTTAAACGCAGAAATCAATTTTGAGTTCTTCTGTTGGTTATTGATGCCTATCACATCTACTCCTCCCTAGCTATTGTAATGAGGGCCAAACCAAGAGTCCTCCACAGAAGCTAGTTTAAAAACCGCCGAATAAGGCAGCTTTTAAGCTAGTATATATATATATATATATATATATATATATATATATATATATATATATATGAAGAAATATCGTCTTAAGATGTGCTATATTTATGGTATAAAGTGCTCAATATCAAAGATAGAGCGTGTGTAAATATAAAAGTGAACATAGAAGTCAACACTTGGCTTGACGATTGCATCTAGCATGAAAAAGACTGTCGCCTCTAAGTGTTGACTTCTATGTTCACTTTTATTTATATATATATATATATATATATATATATATATATATATATATAAAAGTTGTTCTGCAAAATTCTGCCGGCCCCTGGGAACTATTTTCTTTGCCTCACTTCTCATCACCAAGACAGTTGTTCTGCAAAATTCTACCGGCTCCGGGAACTATTTTCTCTATTTCACTTTCCATATCCAAGAAAGTTCTACTGCAAAATTCTACCGGCTCTCGAAACTATTTTCTCTACCTCATTTGTCATCTCCAAGAAATTTCTGCCGAATTCTAATGATCCCGAAGACAATTTCTCTATCTCAATTCTCATCACCACGACAGTTGCCCTGCAAAATTCTTCCGGCTCTGGTAACTATTTACATAACGAACTACTCACTCAATTTACAAAATTTAACAAAATGTCTGAAACTAGAATCTGACCGAAGTCACTTTTGGCAAGGCCATGTTTGGTTGAAGGTAGTTGTTTGTCATATTTCCTAGTAAGCGTATCTGTGTGAGAAGATAATATTCATCAATTTCTTTCTCTAACTCCTACAGAACAAACGTCTACATAAGTCAGAGCCCGCAATTATTTATGTAGTTTACGCTCGCGAATTGTTCGTTAGATCAACAAAGACCGCTGTTTCTCTATTCGTCTATCCTAATGCTGAAAGAAATCCCAACACAAAATAAACGTCTAACTCTTCTCTGTACCTCAAGATCTGAGTAGAAATTAACAAGTGATGATTGTAATCTTTGACAGCCTATGCTATTAAACAGTTGATAATTTTTTTTTTCTGTAATTTGTCTGCCTTTCGAGAAAGTCTCCAGTTCAACAAAACTACCGTCCACTAGAATGACCAGAGGAATTCTTCGATAATCACGTTCAACTGGGTACACGTCGATAAACCACTAGACGACTCCACCCCGCGGCGAGCGGCAGGTAAATATACTGAATGGACACACCCCACCCACAGCAAGTTACCTCTCACCTGGTATTTGTTGCCAGTGATTGTAAGAAGAGATATTTGGCACGGCTACTAATCGTAAGTGTATAGTTTATTCGTTAGTTTTCTCTGTCACTCTTGCTTCCACTATGCCCTGTGAGTTTCAAATTCTCCAAGCCCACTTTTCTCATTATATCCCCTAGAAATTTTACTTATCTTTTTCTGATTCTAAGTATAAGTGTCCTTTTTGTATCCATTTTCCTTAAAACTTTCTCGTTTCTCACATGTCCAGTCCATGGTATTCTCAGCGTCCTTCTGTAGCACCAAATGCCCGTTTTTTCTCAAGTCTCGTCTACATCAGTGAGTAGATTATGCAGATTATTCACTAACATATATGAGAATATATGAAATTAAAATTTTCAGTTTCTAAGTACTTTGCTTAATTTTTGGAAGGCATCTTTCGCTGATATCCCAAAACAGTTCTGCACCTTTTTCTTCGTTTCTAATAAAATTTTCCAGTTCCTTAGTACTTTGCTTAACATTTGGAAGGCATCTTTCGCTGATATCCCAAAACAGTTCTGCACCTTTTTCTTCGTTTCTAATAAAATTTTTCAGTTTCTTAGTACTTTGCTTAATTTTTGGAAGGCATCTTTCGCTGATATCCCGAAACAGTCCTGTACCCTTTTCTTCGTTTCTAATAAAATTTTTCAGTTTCTTAGTACTTTGCTTAACATTTGGAAACAGCATCTTTCGCTTTTTCAGATATCCCAAAACAGTTCTGTAGTTCCTTTTTTTCTTCGTTTCTAAAAAATTTTTCCAGTTTCTTAGTACTTTGCTTAACATTTGGAAGGCATCTTTCGCTGGTATCTCGCAACAGTTCTCCACCCTTTTCTTGGAAGTCAGAAATGATTTTCAACGCTTGATCTAGATATCTTTCATGCAATACCTATCAATCAGCTATTGTGTTATTGGGCAGTCCTTGATGTCAGGAATTATTCTAAACATTTGATCTAGATATCATTCGTGCAGTAGCTAACATTCACCTCCTAAAAATTGGTCAGTCCTTGATGGCAGAAATGATTTTCAACATTTGATCTAGATATCTGAAATAAAAAAAAACGTCATTATTTTCTAAGCAACTTCATATTGAGCAATCTTCTACGGTTATTTGGTTGGTTACATCATAGTAATGTTTCATTAATCATTTCACCCCCAAGCAAGGCGATAAAACCACTAAGAAGTTTTCTCCCCTTTTCTTTCCCTCCGTGAAGGAAAGAAATGGGGAGAAAACATTTTTGATGGGAGAGGACAATAAAAATAACAGGATTCAAGAACAGGAAAGATGACGGTTGACTTTGTATTTAAATTTTGGAAGATCGTAGATGAATGGAAGTCAAGAGAGTTCCACAAGCGAGAAGTATTCAGAATAGAAAGTGTTAGTGAAGAAATTAAAGGGTTATTTCACCTGTAAAATGATGAGACCTAACTGCTAGTTTAGTACTGCGTTTAGATTGGCTAAGACGAGTTTCCAAAGCTCTTCATCAATATTATTTACCATAAAAATATTTATAGAAAAGTGGCTCAGAAAAACCAATTTGCAGCGATGGGAAAGAGCCTGGTGCCAAGACACCAAATGAGGGCCTATTTAATATTTTTTCGATCTGAATTTTATGGAACGACGTATTTACCGTTTTATTCCATTAGATTTCTGTTTATTTCTCCCCACTACGCCCCTCTAAGACTCCCTCCCGACATCTAAAAAATGTTTATCTCTGTCTAGGAACTTATTTTGATCTATTTAAACTCGGATTAAATACGCATCAGCATTAGTTTACACACACACACACATACGCACACACACACACACATACACACAAACACACACACACATATATATATATATATATATATGTATATATTATGAAATGGATAAATTCCTACAATTATTTTAAGACATTTTTATGTTTATACATTCTTTTTATAGATACAAATATTTAAGTAAATGCTCTGTTTTATAATAAACAGTAAAATCGACCTTATGTGGCCGAAACGGTTAAGGCACGTCAGGCTCTATGACGGTTCCGTATAGGATACAGGTTCGATTCCTGTTGGAGGACGAAAATTTTCTATGAAAATTTCTCGGACATTCAGGCCGGTAAATATTGTTTAATACTGTTTATTATAAACAGAACATTTACTTAAATATTTCTATCTATTAAAAGAATGTATAAACATAAAAATATCTTAATATATATATATAGGATGACCCCAAAAAACGCGAACTTTTTAACTATCCAATAAAACCAAGAATGATGGAAGAAAAATATTTTATTCATAGTAATTGAAACCTTAAAATATGCCATTTAAGAAACAATGATGGAATTTTCATTTTTTTTTTAAATTATGTCCTGTAGATGGCGTCCTCCTGTACAAATGCATTCTTGAAATCTGCTGTTGATATTCCTCATTGACTGCTGCAATATCTCAGCTGGGATACTGTGAATTTCATCTTGAATTCTAAATGACGAAATGTTTACTTGATCAAGGTCACAGTCTCGCAGTGTTGCCACTTGCTCATGTCTGGCAATACGCACTTCAAAAATTCCCGTTTTTGGGGGTCACCCTGTAGATAGATAGATAGATAGATAGATAGATAGATAGATATGGATGAGAGCAGAATGATATATAGGCAGCAATGTGTTCCCTTTTCATCGCTCGTCACTATTTGATTTAAAAAAAATAACATATCTATTACGCTTAATTAGAAAGTCTCAGAAGAAAATACGCTTCTGTATGGATATATATGTGGATGCTACACATCAAATTGATTAACAAAACCAACTAGTTGAAAAGATTTTCATCATTTGATCTAGATATCTTTCGTGCAGTATCTATCACTCACCTCCTATAGTATTAGTCAATCCTCAATGGCAAAAATGATTTTCCACGGTTGATCTAGATATCTTTCGGGCAGTAGCTAACATTCACCTCTTGTAATGTTGATCAGTCCTTGATGTCAGAAATGATTTTCAACGTTTGATCTGGATATTTTTAATGCAATAGTTGCGATTGGCCAAGTTACAGAAAGAAACTGGGAATAAGTTTGGCAAAATATCTCTTGACACTACGACCAATTCATAAGTTAATCATTGAATACTTCCATTTGGAAAAAAAAATAACATTTGATTTAAACTCTTGTTGAACGTTTACAGAGACCATATAGTGGATATGATCAGGGTTAAGCAGCAGGTAATACGGTTTATTAGTTGCAACGCACCACATTCAGTCTGGTGAAGGATGAACTAGGCGGACAATGGTTTCCAGACTAAGTCATCGCTGCATTCAAAAAATGGTAAACAAAGTAGTGTCTTCTAACTGAAAATTTGCTCTAAGCTACAGTTGTAGTTTCGTTCGAAATAAATGGCAGGCATTACATTCGGAGCATTGCCTGTCGTTAATTAAAATTAATTTCGAATACCGTCTGAATGCAAACCAAAGAGAGCTTTTCGCTAAACAATATAAGGTGCGTTCTGAAAATTTATACCTGCTTTTCCTTTTGTTTGTTGGTTTAATTTTAAACATTACGTCCCAAGAAAGGTGATAACTCCATTAATCCTCTATCATACCAGAACATTACCTATTCTATTGTAATAGACTCTCCCACAGATAATAAGTAGTAGTAGCAGTGGCCAGTTGGGCTCAGTGATGTTGAACGAGTCAGTCGATGTCGGACATTGAAGTATCAACCATCACAACTAGATTGCTGCGTTATTAACTCTTACTTCTAGTTCCTAACGTTTTGTACGTCGGACCCTTATAGGACCGACTTAGCGAAATACAAGCCTCCACTGTGAAAACTACTCTACAACATGCTCAAAGGGGTTACTGAGATCGAAAGAAACTGTGAAAACTTTATTGAGAAAAAAAGGAAAATAAAAGAACAGATTTCATAAAAGACAGATGATGGTGATTGATGTTGCATTTAAATTTTTGGAGATCGTAGTTAACAGGAAAGCAAGAAGCGTGAAGAGAGTTCCACAGGCGGGAGAATAAACTATTAGTATAGAACTTACGTTTATTTCTAGCTATTTCAACGGTAAAATGATAAGGCCTCGTTACCAAAGTAGGACCACGCTTAAATACATGATGGCACCAAAGAGCAAAGCACATGAGATCTGTTCATTTTAAACTTGGTGTCGCAATTTGGTGAAGCGGTCTGTAGTAACAACGACAACACAATTTCGCTGTGGTACCATCTGTCCGCCAAAGCGATACTCAAGATCTTTAAATTCGCACATAAACAATATGGCCGATACGGTACTTCCGTGTCTGAACAATGGCTGAAACAGTGCTTCCGTTTCCTTAGTTCTCGGTCACAATAATTGGAATAAAACATTTTTAAAAAAAGAACTTCTGAAACGTTTCTATTCTACTAGAAAGTCCCGTGAAAATTTCAGTTTTCATATTTTAATATTCTGATGAATCTTAATTCTTAAGTTAATGATTCAATAAGGTTATAGCAAGTTGTACGCAATAGAATATCAAAAGAAAATTCCCCTATTGCATTGTGAATATTTGAGCTTAACAACCTTAACAAGATATTGCAATAACTATTATAAATTATTAATACTGGTCGTTATAAAGGTGTACAAATGAAGATTTGAAATTGACAACTTTCTTCATTTCACTAAAACAGACGTTAAATACTTTTATCTTTCCTACATTCCTTCCTGCCTTCGTTTCTTTTTTTCTAAAACCAAATAGCGTCTTTGATATGTCTTTTCCATCTTTCCACACAATCAAAATTGAATAGTCCATTATTTGTGAGGTATTGGCAGGAAACGTTAAACACTTCTATCTTCCCTTCTTTATTTCTTTCAAATAGCTTTTGTGATATATCATTTCATGCCAAAACGGAGTAGTCCATTATTTATCAGGCATTGGCAGCGCGTAACGGTCGTGCAAACTAACTAACGAAAAGGAGGAGAAACAGAATTATAATCAGGATAATTACATTAAAAAGAATTATATGATATTTGAAAACAGAGAGGTTATAATTGTCACGAGGAAATTTAATTCCGATTCACTCATCGATTTTGTGCATTACTTATTTTTTTCAAACACTTATAATTTTTGTTGATTTCTTTGTTTGCCCAGAAGTCAACTTTTATTCGCCATTTTGTTGTTTTTTTTTCTTGATTCTCTTGCACTTACTAACCAACTAACCTCTTTCATTGTTTCGGCCAAAACAAGACATTTTATTTTATTTTCTTCCCCAAATGGCAACGTAGTTCTTTTCAAATGGAATTTCATCGAGGTGAGTGAGATTTTAAAAATTGATTTTTTTTCTTATAGTTCAACGAAAATTTGTGTATATACTGTCTATGTTTAAGTCCGTCTGGCATAGGACAATTACACGAACATTTAAATAAGTCTGTTGATTACAGACTATTTTTCACTGTTATTTACCCATACAAAGCCCAAGAGCCACTCAAGTTAGATGATTACTGAATGAGGTTTTTTATGTACATGAGCTAGGGCTGTTGCTTTGGACATCTCGAAAGCGTTCGACAGGGATTTGCATACGGGTTTTCTTCACAAGTTGAAAAGTTATGGTTCCTCCGGTACAATTTTTGAACTGATTCAGTCTTTCTTATCAAATCATGAAATGAAAGTTATCTTGAACGGCCAATCTTCTAGATCTTTTTTACTAATATAGGTGTCCTCACACTTGGCCCTACTTTGATTTTAATTTTCACTAACAACTTTCCTGAGGACATCAGCTCTCAACTTGGTATCTACGCTGATGACACAAGCATTTAATCCTGTCGCGATAGTAAGTCTGATCAGTTCCATAAAGTCAAATTTTCGGCTGAACTACGATCTGTTGTTAAATGGCTTATGCTTACTTGCGCCTTCTCGGGTTACCAATCTCGGCTGACTGACATTACTATTTTTTTTAGTTACGTTTATTTTACATACAAATAAAAAAAAAAACAACTCCATATAAAATACCGACTACCCCATCATTGCGATAACCACCTGAAGATTGCGTTGTGCATGAAACTTTGAGTCGTGCAAGCAATGAGGAAAAATATATATATTTATTAATATATAGTTTATAGCTCTGTTATATTATATCGAGCACTATTTTATTAATACCAATGTTCGATATTATATATTCATATATATATATATATATATATATATATATATATGTGTGTGTGTGTTTGATTGAATAAATTCCAAACATTATGTCTGCTCATTTTTATCCTCGTCCTTTCATATTCACGAATATATTCATGAGAACAAGAAACCGAATCCTAAACAAGAAACGGTGCTCAGCTGCCCCTAATTTAATGTGCTGTCGACAAAATCAAAAAACAAATAACGAGCATGCGTGAAATAAAAAAATCGCACCCTATATATATACATATGTGTGTGTGTATATAAATAAAAAGAATAAAAAAACCCAGACGACATGAATTTAACGGATTTCAGAATTCGTTGAAAAATATACGCCTACCCTCCCTAAACTTAACCTCTTTTTTGAACGTAACTCATAATTGATACAACAATAGTTAATAAAAATGAAGACGCTACAGCCCCTGTCTAAATGATTGGATTCCTCTGTATCCTTGGAAACAGTAAATTATGAATTTATATGTGCGTTTAAAACTCAGTAAATTTTAAAATAAGTTATTCCAATATTCGCTTGAAGATGAAACGGAACTAATGCTTTTAATTTAATTATATAATTAAATTTAAAGGTGTTAGCTTCCATTTTTGAAACATGGTTATTACTGTATAGAGAAAAACCATATTTTAAATCAGTTAATTTATAATATATATATATATATATATATATATATATATATATATATATATGAAGAAAATTGGAAAAAACAAACCAAAAATCCTTAAATGCAATTATGTTGTTTAAAATGAATGAAATGTCGACGTCTGACGTTTCGGCTTAATAAACCTTCTTCAAGACAATATTCATTAAAATACAATTCAGATCAATTTGACAAAGACGATTGATAAGAACTTATGCAACAGAAATTTATAGAAACAAGGATCTTTTCATTCATAAACAGGTTCGGGGTTTTTGTGTATTATTTGAATTGTTCGCGACGATGGATTTCTCGCCAATTAAATCATTAACCTTCGTATTTGTTTTTTGTATGAATAATTCATGAATTTGTAAATTAATTGCACCTTTATCGAAATTAAAATAACTGATCCAAATGCAACTTTTGGATAAGTGCGACATTACTGTAATTATTGAACAATAAAGTTCATGCCACTTTGACAGAAAATTTACCAGTAAAAAAGAATTCACTTATCACCATATTTGTATAAGAACGCACAATTGTAAAATTTAAATTCAAACTCAGCGTTGCGACAGCACGCTTCAAAAACAATAACTCATTTCTAATAGCATTTTTCGGATTACAACAATACATATATTTTCGTTGTCTTCTTATTACTGAGAGTAAAAACAAGAACAAAATCTATTCCATACCTGAGGATGTCTGTACGAACAGACGAAAGCTTGTAAAAATAACAAGAACTTATGCAACAGAAATTTATAGAAACAAGGATCTTTTCATTCATAAACAGGTTCTGGTTTTTTGTATATTATTTGAATTGTTCGCGACGATGGATTTCTCGCCAATTAAATCATAACCTTTGTATTTGTTTTTTGTATGAATAATTCATGAATATATATATATATATATA